TGTCAACTAAAGAACCAATAACTTCCGTTTCCGGTTGTAGATTATCGTCAAAAATCAATAAATGCCTTCTTTTGAATGTAATGAATTGACAAGAGAGAATAAAGCGTATAATAAACCAGTTACAGTAGATTAAAGGGTGTCCTAAGTTTGAATATTGGCTAAATCATCCTCCTCTAAATATACCAAATAATGTAGTCTCTTTCCTCCTAGATATACTAAATAATGGTATATGTAAAAATGTAAGGCACTAAGCTACAGCTCGTTTAGTTTACATGCAAATCTGGCCCAGAGTAGATACATTAGACTCGCATATATAAATACTAAAACTATACAAAGTAGATGAGTTGATATACATAAATTTAATTCAAGTAATTAAATGCAAATATATATTCACAGACTGACATACATACAGACGTACAAATATAAATACTAATTTACAGATAAGCATATTTTATAGCATCAAAATTTCTATTTTACTAAAACTGCAGCTAATAAAAAAAAATATATATATATATATGTAGCCTATATGAAATTATATTTAATTTTATAAATTTATTATTAAATCTGATTATTAAATCAAGATTATCTTTCTTACATGCATACAGGCCTCACAGATATCAAGAAAGATTAATTAAGAGGTCCTTCATGATATGAGATAGCTTAGGGCCTCATTCCATTGTCAAAAAAATAATTAATATATATTGATATTATCCAATATTATATAATAAAGAATGTAGGGCCTCTTGTATGTCTTAGTTTAGGTCTATGAGTTGTTTAAATCCAGCCTTTCCAGGCCCCAACATATTAAAAACAATTGTTATCAATGAGAAATCAACAGGACCTCTTCTGACCTTGTGATAGTTAGGTCCTTTAAATTTAATTTATAGCAATTATTATTGTAATTGCTATAAATTAGAATTAATCAATCTCATCTCATAAACTTTTAAATTTAGAAAATTACCAGAATAATGTAATATCTCTTAATGTTGATTTATTGTTCACATTCAAATTTATTATGTTTTTTTTTCCATATTGTTAATGAACTGTATCTTATTTTTTTTAAATCATTTTTTATCAACTAATAAATAAAACATGAAGATAAATACATTCCATTAATAAGTTTAAAATGAAGTTAATAATGCATTAATAAATAATCTTTTTTTCTTTTTAATTTAAAATATTTATTTATCATTCATTCATTATTCATTACATTAATGTATTTTTCTTTGATATTTTATTAAGGAAAGAATAATTTATTTTGTATAAAATAAATAAGAATGCTCACACTTATATAATTATTTTTATGCACTGTATTCTGTATTGTAAAATGTACATTTTTTAAATAGTATAATATACTAAAACATTTTAATTTACTAAAAAACAATAAATTTTGTAGTATATTATGTTACTATAAACTGTAAAAATCTATAATGTAGAAAGTTAAAGCTTGTACACTGCATAAAAATGCAATTTATGTAGCACCTACAGCATAATTAAGTAGTGGAGCAACTTATCATGTAAGTATTTTAGCATTTTTAAGTTATTTTATTCAAATTAAATTATTATTTATACTATCAAAAAATATTATTGTGATAAACAAACAATGAAAGATAAATATTTTAAATTAAAAAAAAAAATTATTAGTGCATTATTAACTGCATTCCAAACTTACTAATGAAATCTAATTATCCTCTTGTTTTATTTATCATTTATTAAATTTTGTAGTATATTTCAGTAATATACTGTGCTACAGCAATTTACAGTTAGTAGAATCAGGGCTGGTGGCTCAGAGGCCTTAGACTGCCACCATTGCTCAGAGGGGCCCTATTTTAACTAGATAATATATAAAACATAACTAAAAATAGAAATTGTTTATTATCAATATTTGATTTTTACTTTTTACATTATAAATTTACAATTTTGAGACTCTACAAGTCTATTTTATATATACAATATTATTCAAGCTATAATATAAATTATTTGTTTTATAGAGAAGTTTTATTTTTCATGTATTATATGATATTTGAATCAGTTTATTAGTATGTTATTTATTCAACACATCATATGATATTTAAATTATATTTTTTTATGACTTAATTAGACAAACTGATTTAGTAATTTATATATAAATGTCAACAAAATTTTTGTATTTTTTAATGTTAAGTGTATTGAAAGTAACTGCATGAATAAGATAAACAATTATGATAAGTAAATATAGGTTAAGGTTATGTAATTACAAGATTGCATGTTATATTACAACTTAATACATAGTCAGAAAAGTTCTTTAATTAATTCTGCAAGGAAATTTTACATATACAATACATGTAAAATTACTTTATAATTATAACTGTAATTCTAAGTTATGTGCAGTCAAACCTCTAAAAGACGGCCGCTGATGGAAACATAAAAAATGGTCATTGTTTGCAGGTTATTTTTGTGTGATTTCTAAAGGAAGGTTGCTGATAAAATGGCCGCTGTTTAGAGGTGTTTACAGGGAATTGTGGCCGTTATTAGAGGTTTGACACCTTTAATAAAGGCAGCAATTTCCTGTAAACACAAAGATATGCTACTAATTAACATAAGTATTTCGTCTTAGCTTCAAAAAAGGTGGCCTGAAAGGGATCTTTTATATTAAACATGTTAAGCTAAAGTTTGTTTTTATTACCTTTGGAGAAAGGTGGACCTCCCTCTCAAGACCCTGATTTAATTAGTTTTATGATGCTATTACTTTAAATAAGATAATATATAAAATTTATTTATATATATTTATATAAAATGATATTACTTTGCAAAACAATTCAAAATTGGAAACGAAAATTAACATTTTAATGTAGTGTGATGTTGAATCCTCAACGTAGAGATTATATTAACGTGTATTATCAAGTAATAAAAGAATTTGATACAACTAAAATTGTAAAATTATTATGATTTTACATATTTAAATATGCTTTGATTAAGCAAGTACGTTATATACAGTAACATATATAAGTTTTAGATGGGGTGGGATGGGATGTCCTTTAATCCATTCGTAAAAATCTACAATCCTAATGACAAGTTCATTTTCTTTTTAAATATGTAATTATGCAATATATGACTGATTTATAAGGGATTTATAAGTATTCCACTGTCCTAACTATGGGAGTTCGCAGAAAATTCCTATGAGGAGGGAAAGCTTGGAGACTTGAAGACAAATACATCAATAAACTTTTTATTTAATTTTTGAGGTTTTTTCAAAAATAGATTATAGAATACAGTATTGCATAAAAGCATCCCACGGTCAAGTGTGTAAGATTACCTATTTCAATCACTTTTACGATTATAATTTGTAGAATTTTTTACTCAATCCTAGAGAGAAGCAAGTGCTTCGTTTGCCCCCCCCTCTGCACACACCAATGGCAAGCTAATGGTCGGGTCTATTTATAATAATACACCCAAGTAAGGACTATGTATAATAATATACCAGTCGACCCCCCTAAAACACTGTTGATTTTTTCCGTTTTATATGAATTTCATGTTGTACGAGTCACTTATATTTTACAAATACGTGTGCCGGGCTGTGAATGGCTCACGTATTTGTAAAATCTAAGTGACTCGTACAACATGGAATTCATATAAAACGGAAAAATCAAGTGTTATAGGGGGGGTCGACTGGTACTTATATAATTTTGTATATAACGTGTTTTTAAGCTGATATAAGCTATAAAAAATGTTTTTTTGTTTTTTCCTTTGAAATATTCGCAGAAAACTTTCAAAAATGACAATAAAATCGTTTTTGGGTAGAGAAAAAGCTTTCGAATGATTAAATAATTTTTATCAATCGTAAAATAACGTAAAGTAGACTTATAATATACTATAATGACGATAAATTCGTAAATAAAAGTAGGTCGAAGAGGCGCCGAACGAACGACGTAAGAAACGAATATGTGACTAGTTGGCCTCGAACTGCATATATGTCTGCTCCGGTTTGTTTAATGATTTAAAACAGTAAAGCACACACGAATCGGTAGTCGACCTTGGATAGGGAAAAGCGTAATAAAAAGGGAAAGGAGGAAAAGATGTGGAGGGTAGAAGTCTCGAAACTTAAGTAGTGGAGCAACTTATCATGTAAGTATTTTAGCATTTTTAAGTTATTTTATTCAAATTAAATTATTATTTATACTATCAAAAAATATTATTGTGATAAACAAACAATGAAAGATAAATATTTTAAATTAAAAAAAAAAATTATTAGTGCATTATTAACTGCATTCCAAACTTACTAATGAAATCTAATTATCCTCTTGTTTTATTTATCATTTATTAAATTTTGTAGTATATTTCAGTAATATACTGTGCTACAGAAATTTACAGTTAGTAGAATCAGGGCTGGTGGCTCAGAGGCCTTAGACTGCCACCATTGCTCAGAGGGGCCCTATTTTAACTAGATAATATATAAAACATAACTAAAAATAGAAATTGTTTATTATCAATATTTGATTTTTACTTTTTACATTATAAATTTACAATTTTGAGACTCTACAAGTCTATTTTATATATACAATATTATTCAAGCTATAATATAAATTATTTGTTTTATAGAGAAGTTTTATTTTTCATGTATTANATTTTAATGAATAATTTATGACTTTTACAACTCTTGAATAGCCAAATGAGTTATTATGAAGAGGAATAGCGGAGAAAATAGCATAAAAGCTAAAGTATATTTTGCTCAAATTTAAATCGTTTATTAGGTTAAAAATATTGAAAAAAATAATCTAGTAATAAATTCATTTTAAAATACATTTAGCATTTAAGAATAACAACAATAACAACATTATTATTATTAACGAAAATATAAAAACATTTAAAATTTTATTAAGGAAACCACTAATTAATAATAAAAATAAAAAGAAAACATTTAAAAAATTAAAATTAATTAGAAATATATCGAGTTTATACAATAAACTGAGTTTTAAAAATGACTTTCAAATGTTAATCGTCTCGAAGTCATTGGTGTCGAGAGTAGTTTTCAAGATGGCGGTGTCCATGTGTAGAAATGTGTTCGGTCCAAAACTGAAAAACTTCATTAAAATTTATAGCTTAAACAGTTACGTTAATGTTAAATATGGTAAGTAATTGAAATAAAGTAGCTTCTTTATACTTTTGCATGTAATTTTAAATATATTTATCGATGAAGTAGTGTTTAGACAGAATAAGTATGGGTCTCTTTAGCACAATAACTGGTTAATGTTTGCAGTAAATTACCAATTAGTATGTATTTTTTTTAATAATCGATGCTTCTGTTAAGCCATCCGAAGTATGAAATCATTATTAAGGTATTTCATAAGTTTTTAGTGATGTGAGTTTATCTTAAGTTTTCTTTGGTACAACTCAGGCTCTGCCTTACGTATTAATGTTAAAATGCCAACTTTGACCCTTAATACCTCCACAACCAATGAACCGATTTATATGAAATTTAAAATAGTTAGTGTTCATGATGAGTAATATTGTCGTGTTAAATTTTGAATAAATTCGTTGGATCGTTTTGGACTTACGCAATCAGCATTTTGTCGACTAGATTTACAAGAGAAAATGACATCAAGCTACCGAGGAGGAGGAGTTTACATATACAATCTAGGAGGAGTTTACATATACAATGGGTGATCGGTTAACGAACAGTTCGGATAGGGAACAAATTGGATAACGAACACTTTCGCGAAAGATTTTTATGATCAGACAACAAACACTTTACTGAACAAACATAAAAAGAAGCAACGTAAAATAACGAATACCGATTGATTTTCTATTGTCTTCAGGTAACAATTCGAAACCTTTCGGAGCGTGGGAAACATCAACATTGACGCTCAACCTGATACCAAACAGATAGTATTCCTCCGGATTTTGAAACTCTCCCTTGTAATTCCAGCTTTTCGTTTACCTTTCTGACAAATAATTTTTTATAGTCTCTGTGAGACTGTCAGATGGGTACTTGTTAAGTTTTGTGTTGGGATTTATTTACGAAAGGTGAAAGTTCAACTATCTCATCGGATATTTGTTAATGTTTTAAAATGAAGAATACCAAGAAACTCGGAGAGTTGATTTCTGTTCTCTGAATTTTTGTAAATGCTTTTCTGCACTTTTTATTTAAAAAAGAAACTGATAATATTATGGAGCCTAAAAAGAAGTGTGTCAAGAACTGCTCACCGTAGAAACCAAGTAAGAGATAATACCAAGGTAGAAAGTGGGCACAAGATGTCTGATGTTGCTAGGCAGTAGGGAGATGGCTTGAACAGGTCTACAGTAGGCACAATCTTAGCTATGAAAGATATATCAAGAAGTCTCAAGATGCTAATGGAGTAATGAAAATCACATCTGAGAAATAAAGAGCATTTTAGAGCTCATATTGGAACCTGAAACTGATCTGATGACAGAAGAACTCCAAGAACTCTCAAATGAAGAATACCAAGAAACTTAGTGAGATGTGTTTTCTTTTGAAAAAGAGGACCAATGTTGACATCTGCTACTAAAGATCTTTTGAAGAAGTGGGAGGATGTCAGAACAACGCTCATCCAAGTGGCATCCAAACCAGAATAAGGTTAATGGGGTTGGGGATCTCTACAATTACAATACTATTAATTACTTC